ATATAAATTACAATAAGTTTATATCTTATATATAAACTATAGATAAAAAATATATAGGGTGTTATCAATTAAAATAATCTTTTTATATATTATAAATTACTATATAAGGTACCTTTTTTGATTTATATCTTCTTGATTTATATTCTCTTTAATTTGTACCTGATATGTTTCAAAATTATTTATTATAATAGTTTATAACACGTCGCTCTACCGATCTAATACTATTACTAAAAAAAATCAATCTTTAAATATATAATACTTAATTTTTTTTAATAATATAAATTTTTATAAATATTATAACAAATTTATAAAATAAAGCCAAAATTTAATTTCAAAATTCAAGTATTAAGTTTTTAAAATTTAAACTTTGGTTACTAAATAATATATTACTAGTAATTAATTAATGTTAACTACTAAAAAACTTTTTAAACTTCTAATCTATATTGATAAAGTGTTTAATCTAGCTTGATATATACTATTAGACATTCTAATCTGAAAACATTAATTAATATAGTTAAAAATCTGTATTATGTATTAGTAAATAAATTTTTGAGTATTTTATAAATTTGTTACAATAAATATAGAAATGTTAAGTTATTTTTTACTAATTTAATATATAATCTGTATTATAATTTAGTATTATTAATAATTGCACTAAAAAAACTAATTTGTAAAAATATAATAAATAAAATTTGTTCAATAAACTCAAAATATTATTATAATATATAAAAGATCAATAGTAAATTTATTTAAAATTTTATAAAATTATAATTACATAATTACAAAATTATTCAATCTATTAATTTACAAAAGCTTCTATTTTATTATTTGTATAGTAATATTCAAATTCTACTTTTTTAAAATAAAATATTCAAAGAATTTGATTGATTCAAGAAGTAAAGCTAGAACAGAAGTTATTGCTAAGCTGAAAGGTTTGGTAGATATAATAAGTATTGTTGAGATAAGAAATCTTAAGAGTATTGCTAAAATGAAAGATCTTGTTAGAATAGAAAGTGCTGCTAAGACAGAAAGCCTTGATAATGCAAAAGTTGCTAAGATGAAGGTCTTAATAGTGCTGAGATAAGGAATCTTGATAGTGTTAAGATAAAGAGTCTTAATAGTACTGAGGTAAAAATCTTAATAGTGCTAAAATAAAAGGCCTTGATATTGCTGAAATAAAAAATTTTATTAAAACTAGCATTGTAAAACTAGATTTTTAATATTATTAAAAATAAAATTATTAGCTTTATAATCTTTAACTTAATTATAATTAAAGATTAAATATTCTTCTAATTTATTAGTTAAAACTAATATATTATAATATTAAAAAATATTTAATAAGTTGGATAATAACAGTATCCTATGCACATTAAACTTATTCTATAATAAGATTATATAATAAATATCTAATTTAATTACTTGCTATTAATTTTTTGACCTTTTGCACTATCCATTTATTATATAAAGATCTAAGTTATTAAATAAATATATATAAATATATATATATAAGTAAATGTAAATATATAGTCAAAGCTTGAAATAATAAATTTTTATATAATGAATTTTTTGAAATAACAAAAATTTTTGCATTATAAATATGTTTAAACATATAAACTTGTTTTTAAATAACTAAATATTTTTTTATAGCAAAGGCAATAGATTAAAATACTAACTTTAATATATTGAGCTTTGACTATATACTTAATTTTAAATATAATAAATCTTTTTATAACAAATTTTTTTCTAAAATCATTAGTTTATTATAAAAAGAGTTAACTATATATAATACAAAATTATAATAAAAATGTTTGATTTAAAAGACTTGTTAATAAAAACATTAAGCAGTTGAATTTTTAATATTAGTTTTTTAGAAATAATTGCAATATTTGTATTCTTTTTTAAAAGATTATCCTTAATAAATAAATCAAATAGTCCAAAAAGAGTTTATTATTAATAATAATCATAGGTTTTTAATATATAGTGTTTGATTATTCTAAATTGCTTCTATCCAGTATTTTATTTTTAC